AAGGCCAGGCCTTCTGTTGTGAGTTCAGGAGCCCATTATTCCCGAGCGTGTGTTTAGTGACGACAGTGCTCACGTGGACACCCCAGGAATGCTAGGTGATAGTGATAGTGATTTTGGTATACTCATAACACAAAAAGTGACTGCTATGCATCACAAGACCTTTTTGCAGACTGTGTTCCGGTACAGAGTTACGTGACATGCACTGACGGCAATAATGACGATGAAAATGAATATGAAAATGATGAAAGTGAGTCTAATGGTAACACAAACAGTGACACTAATGTATCACAACAAGAACAAACAGACTGTGAGGAGGTAGAAGTAGACAGTGAGGAGACATGCATTGACCCTGATGGTGATGAAAGTGAGCCTGATCCAACGAATGCTAGTGAAAGTGAGCCCATAACTCAGTCTTATAATGAAACTGAACTGTTGCCGGCATCAATAATCAATGATTTAGTTGATGAAGAATCTGTGTGGCGATTTTCAGAGTGCAGAGAAAAGCTTTGATCAGTATGTGACTGATTATGAAGAGGCCATTAAAGTTATATGCACTCCTCAGGATTTACGTAACTTCAAGTTGCAACTAAACAAAGTAAGATTGTATGTTAATTAGGTTGGGGGGGGGAGAGGTTAATGGTGGGGGGATGAGTGTAGTAGTGTTTCCTTATTATTACACTATTACTTAACAATATGATAAATCTTTGGCTAATAATAGGGACGGAAGGATAAAAATACTGAGAGGCAAATGAGTTTTTTACTATTATTAAATTTTGTGGGGGGTGGGTAGGGGGGTTTATGGGGGGGGGGGTGTAAGATGAAAGCTGTATTTGGTGATCATTAACTTGTTTTACAGTATTAGCCCACAATAATAAGAAATTTTTGCAGAAAAACACGATTAATGTTGGTTTGAAGATCAAACAACTGTACATCATGGGTAGTTATTCTCATTCAACTCGCGATAAAATAATAACTATTCACAGTACTAACTTCCAGTTTCCACAGCTCGCTAGGAGAGGGATTGAACTGGACGAAAAAAATAACTTTCTAGCTTAAAAAACAAAAAAGTTATGGTTGTTTGAACTTCGAAAAACTTCAAATGCGTTTTTCTCAGCTTTTAGAATTTGGAGCTTCACCCCCTTCTAATGCACAACACTTCATATAAGAGTGAAAGTGGGTCCCAAAGGCAAGACTGCCTGTGAGGGACAGTGTGGATAGATCATGCTGTATGCTAAGCTTTTGGTACACAAGGAAGCAGCATGACCAGTACTGCACTCGACCACATTCACTTCCCCAAGTTGTAACATAAGAGCATAAGTACATAAGAATGGAGGAAACTGCAGCGGGCCTATTGGCCCATACTGGGCAGTTCCATTTGCACCCAACCCCTATTGCTCATATATGCATCCAACCTATGTTTGAAGCTATCCAGCGTATTCGAGTTAATGATGATATTTGGTAACTTGTTCCAGTCATCCACTACTCTATTTCTAAACCAATGTTTACCTATTTCGCGCCTAAATCTAAATTTGTCTAATTTAAAACCATTGTTACGAGTTTGCTCCTGGTTGGATAGTTTGAGTACCTTTGTAATGTCCCCTTTGTTTCGCCCTGACTTCCATTTATACACCTCTATCATGTCGCCCCTCGCTTTATGTCTCTCGAGGGAGTGCAAATTAAGATGCTTTAACCTGTCTCTGTACTCAAGGTTCCTAATGCCCGGGATTAGTAATGTCATTCTCCTCTGAATTCTTTCCAAGGATTCTATATCCATTCTGGAATACGGTGCCAGAATTGAACTCAGTAATCCAAGAGAGGGTCTCACAAGAGCAAGATATAGTTTTAAGATGACTTTGCTAGTTTTGTAATTAACACTCCTTTGTATGAACCCAAGTACTTTATTACCCTTGTTTCGAGCAAAAACACATTGTTTACTTGCCTTAAGATTCCTACTTATCATTACTCCTAAATCTCCCTCGCAGTCGGATTTCTCAATAACATCGTTGTTCATCTGGTATCTGGTTTCCCTGTTTACATTTCCTATACTGAGTACTTTACATTTGTCCACATTGAATTTCATCTGCCATTTTTCAGACCATTCGAAAAATTTGTTTAGATCTTCCTGTAGTTTTGCGGAGTCCTCGTCAGATTGAATTACACGTCCTATTTTAGTGTCATCAGCAAATTTACTTATGTTGCTGTCTACGCCGATATCTATGTCGTTTATGTATATAATAAATAATAATGGTCAGAGTACTGAGCCTTGGGGAACTCCACTAGTGACGTTGCTCCAATGGGATTTAGTGCCGTTAATGCTCGCTCGCTCGCTATTTCCCGTCCTGTAACCACGCTCTAATCCATTTTAGAATATCTTTTTTAATGCCATGAGCCTACACTTTTCTTATTCGTCTTTTGTGGGGGACTCTGTTGAAGGCTTTGCTAACGTCGAGATATACCACCTCATAATTGTGCCCCTCGTCCACTGATTAAAAACTGATGAAAAGATTGTTAATAGATTAGTTAGACATGAACGCCCGCTTGTAAAGCCTTGATGGGAATCATTGATCAACTTGTGCTTCTCTAAGTGATTTCGAATAGAGTTTGAAATGATTGCTTCCAGTAATTTGCCTAGAATTGATGTTAGACTGATTGGACGGTAGTTAGAGGATAGTGATCTATCTCCCTTCTTGAAAATCGGTATTACATTCGCTATCCTCCAGGATTCTGGTACTACACCTGTTTTTAAGGACATGTTAAACAGCTTTGCTAAGGGCATACTAAGCTCTTCCTTACATTCCTTTAATACTCTGGCAAATATCTCATCGGAACCAGGTGACTTATTAGGCTTTAGTTTGTCTATTTGCTTACTAACATCGTTACTAGTCACTTACTATCTCGCTTAATTTGTTTTCTTCACTATCTCTGTATAGAGTCGGTGCCTCGGGTATCATGTTTAAATTTTCGGTGGTGAAATATGTTTAAAAATATTTATTCAGATTATTGTTCAATTCTCTGTCGTTATCAGTTAGCTCGCCGGTATCTGACTGTATTGGTCCAATCTTTTCTCGTGTTTTAGGTTGATACATTTGATAGAATCCCTTGGGGTTTGACTTCGTCTCCCTTGCTATCCTCAGCTCATTATTCCTCTTTGCTTTTCTTATCTCGGTCTTAACCTTACCGGCCAATACCTTATAATAATCTCGGAGGTAAACTTCGCCACGATTTATCCTCCTCCCTATAGCCTTCCTTTGACCAATAATGTTCTTTAAATAATTATTTTCCACTTAGGGTCATTGTTGTTTGATCTGAGTTTTTGTATGGTATGTTCTGCCTTTGTGCATTAAGTAACTCATTATTTAAATTGTCGTGGAACTCGGCAACCTCAGATCTCGTTATCAGGTCAGTCTCAACCGTCAGGTCTCCGGGTACGGTGATGTCGCCCTCTCTGGGTACATTGAGTGAGGTCACCTCATGTGAGGTCATGTAATTCACCCCCAATTGCGACACCCCTTCTCTCAATTGCCTCTTCAAACTATCAAAGTATGCCCTTCTGAAATCAGGGACTTTTGTGGAATTTTCCTTACGGCTGCCCTAAAAATCTAACTGGAATCTAATTTCTTTGTGATCGCTGTTTGCAAGTCCGTTCCCTACCTCGACAATGCTAATGAGGTTTTCTCTGTTCGACAGAACTAAATCGAGTATATTATTACCCCGGGTGGGTTCGGTTATATATTGACTTAGGAAACAGTCCTAGATCGTTTCAAGAAAATCCTCTGATTCTAAGTTACCCGTAAGGTTAATCCAATCTATTTGGCTAAAGTTAAAATCGCCTACTATACAGACTTTGATGTGTATGGAAGCCCTACACATTTCATCCCAAATAAGTCACTCTTTAATTCTATCAAGATTGGGAGGTCTATATATTACTCCTGTGATTAATTTTTCCTTACAGTCGATTAATTTTATCCAAATTGTTTCTGTATTCCGCTCAGTGAATTAGGGGTGCCCAAGGATAAAACCACCAACCTCAGAAACGTGAGGCGCAGTACATATGGTGCATACATAACAAAATCAATATATCAAATTACAGTACAGGCATCCCCCGAGTTATGGAAAGCCGGGTTACAGAAATTCGTCCTTACGAAAATTTGAAATAGTGACCCCAAAAATTTGTGATTTGGTTATAAAATTCACCCTTCCAGATTTTTTTTTTACAGGGATTAGCCCGCCAGGGCTAATCCCTGTAAAAAAAATCAACCCGGAGAAATGCGAGTTCAGTATTGACGGATATGACTCATTTACGAACCTTTCTCAAGTAACTTGCAAGAGGGGTGTGGTAATTAATTATTGTTATGTTACATTATGAATAAATCATTGTATGTGTTTAAAACCATTTATTTTCAATCGTATATGAGCTTGTATTAAGTTTTTGGCCGAAACGCATCTCAAAATATATAATGGGAGTCAATGGGAAGAATGGTCCGGCGTTACGGACAAATGTTCAGGAACGGAACCCTTCTGTAACCCTAGGGATGTCTGTATTCCTTTTAAATGGCTGTACTCATTTCAACAAATGAAACATCAATGAAAAGAGCTCAAAATTGCACATTAATTAACAGAGTTTTTTTCTACTTGTAAATAAAATTTGCGGAATCTTTTACAAATCTTTGAAAACACTACAAAAAGTTAATACACTACCGGCATGAATCAACTTCAAAGCACTACTTCTCCTAAAACTATGAAAGTGTGTTAATAAATGATGTATCAATGCTTTTTATTTATACTATTTTTTAATTATCTGAAAGAAAATATTGTACTAACTGATTATCCTGAGGAGAATCAGCACCACGTGGCATTATTTTTTGGCTCTCTGGCCATATAGTACTCTGCAGTAAAATGATATCTCATTCGGACCTAATGATAAAAAAGTGGACAAATAGGCTGGATACTAGATATCAGCCACATCCTTATTCATGATCATTCTAAATAAGAAATCTCACCTTTGGTTGACCAGCTGGGTTTGTGGGGTCACGTGGCAGCACACTCCACAGTCTGCTGTCTCGGGAGATTTCAACAGTGAAGGCCGTCACCCTGTCCTTGGTGAGAGGATTGCCAGCCACCTCCACACCATACACAGGCTCCACTGAGCCAAGGTCCACTTGGATAAACTGATCTTCATTACTATACAATGGTGCCCAGCTCCTAGCTGTAAGACATGAAAATTGGTTCAGAGTATCTCATAAGGAAGACGAATACTTTTGATAACGCGAAAATAATATTAATCTGACAGTACTGTATTCATTAACCATTTGGACGAACTGTTTGACTGCAGCCAAACAAAATATAAATTAAAATAAATGCAGTGTTTGTTTTTTGTCAAGACTTAAAAAAAATGCACCACTCTTGTTGGAGCTTTCCTTAACACCCTCCGTCCTTCCCAGCAGATGACACTGTCAGTAGCTGTGGTCATATCCACCCACACTGTGAAGCATATATTTCATTCTCCTCATTTGATGTTGTTTACATAGTTAATTAGAGACATTATGTATGTTATAATATCAAGGTATACTGTAGAGTACCTTGTAAATTATGATAATACTGTGCAGTATTAGATATGTTATGGATGTTTTTGTCAAGGTATACTTTGTAAGTGGGTGATACTGTAGTGGACGTCTCCCCTACAAACTCCGCCGCTGCCTGGCGGCCCTCGCTTCTCCGCCACCTGCGACGCCTTCCCTAGCAATCAAACTAGCGTGCCTTCCACCAGATGCCGCAGTATCCTAGCAACGGAGCCAAAGACCGGTTACTTCTCGGGTTTTCCCTACATGACTCACGGCTGACTCACGGCTGCTGGGTATATAAGCTCTGTCTCTCCATTGAGATTCATTCTGGCCTCTCTTCCTGAACAAGCAACACCTCCTCCTCTGCCGCTGCCTGGCGGCCCTCGCTTCTCCTCCGCCTTCCTGGCGCTCCTCGCTCCCGCCAGCGAGCATGGCGACCCACCAGCTGTCCTTCTCTGAGCTTCCTCACCAACCAGCTCTCATTCTGCTCTCGGTTCCTGAACACGCAACACCTCCTCCCAGCAAGCTCCTCGCTGTCCAGCTTTCATTCAACCAGGAGGCCAGCAACAGGCAACATCTTCTCTAACAAAGCTCCTGCACATCTACCTCCTTCAACACGCTACTCACCGAACGTCTCTACTGAGCAGCTCCTCACCACACGGCATCTCCAGCACCAGACTGTTTATCATATAACTTATATTATACAAGAAAACCACCTTAGAGTTTCCATCCATCCTGAGTGCTAGACAACATTATACTACGAAACCCTACAATACAATATATAGAGATATATTAAGATAATAACCATTGTTTGTCACATTTGTTTATAAGTAGTTGGCAGCACGTGGTTGCATACTGCACCTGTAAATCTTTATTACTTCCCTACTATTTTTTTATATCATTGAACAAATATAAATTGATTAATTACACTTTTTGTTCCTTTAACTGAAATCAAAAGAATTCACAAATATTTTTGTAAGAAAATTTACTTTAAGTTGACTGTAAAAGATATATTTTTTGTTATATAAAGCAAATTTAACTTCTATTGCCAGGGTATAGTTTATAGGAATTCTTGATAATATTTTCCATCATATTTTCCCCTATTGCCAGATGTTGTTTTAAAGGTACTGTATACTAATGCCAGATATGGTTTACCTTGACACAAATGTACTAAAAAATAAAGTTTTTCAATGACTACATCATGCATTGTCCTGTTACTTACAATTAAGGCTGCCATCCTTATGATAAAGACGTGCACTGGAAGGACCGTAGAGGGCATTACGTGCAGTAGTAGAGGAGAAAGCTTCGTCTTCAACATCTTCAAGCAGATGTAGGAACCTATATGATGATAAATAGGTGAAGTAATCCCAAAAATATATGAAAATTCAACCAATTAAAATTGTCATTGTAATTATATGCTGTACACTTTGAACTCTAAATTAGACAAGATCTTTAACATATGCTGTAAAGGGAATCCCCAAATTACAGCTGACTGACTTATTAACACCCAGACTTACGAATGGGATCCCAATATTTTTATCACAAGTTTCCTAAACTAAAATCCTATTGTTTTACATTAGTTTCATTACTCTATATTGTTTAACATCACTTTATTTACAGCAATACTGTATTACACTATTTCTTATGCTTGGAATATTAGTTTTGTTTTGTATGGGCAGGAATGTAACTAAAATCCTATTTTTACATTATTTTATGTTGTTTAACATCACTTTATTTACAGTATTTACAGTATAATGTATGTTGTGTATGGGATATTATTGTTGTTCTGTATAGGTGGGGATGTGCTTTAACCTAACATAAGGAATGGAATTAGCACTGTTTTGAGTTACAAACAGGGTCCAGGAATGTAACCTGTTAGGGACTCAGGGACTGACAGTAATTGGGCCCAAATTGTGGCAGCATCTAATATACTATAGGACTAGGCGTGTGTCTGTGTGTGTGTGTCTGTTCTGGGCAGCCGAAACGGCACAATCGTTTTTCATCAAACTTGGTGGAAAAATCGCAAAAAATTTCGTAGAGTGGAACAAACCTGGTCCCATGTCGACGGTTTCTTTAGGAAGGCATTAATTAACCATTTTATTTGCGATGGAAAACGATGCAAGTCTACAGACTTGGCGCACCCTAATTAACCATGCAAGTCTACGAACTTGGCTCACCCTCATTCGCTGTACGCTAACCAAGCACGAGCGTTCAAACTTTCACTGGGCACGAACGTGCCCGCCCTCACTTGTCATAAGTATACCAGGTGGTACTATATTTTCTAATACACACATCTTTGGAATGGCCAAAATGCTTGACAAACATTTTCAAAAACTTTGTACAATATACATTAGATTGATACTGCCAGATGATACAAACAAATGTAGGAAAGCTTCAAATATTTAATTTGAGATAGTCCTGCTGAGAGGACAATACCAAATGATGTGTGCAATCCAGGGGAAACTGTGTCAATCCATATGAACAGTGTCTGTTTCCACTGAATAAATATGTACCATCAAATTAATTACCAGATAGTAAGTTACACCCAGTACAATTCATTAACATGAAACAGTTATTTGTTCAATATCATTATTTCTTACTAATTCTTTTACAGTATTCCATTCGTATATTTTGTATCCATACCTTCGATAATTCATGAGAGGCAATAGAATATTAAACATTGATAGAGTTATGTCCCCATTAGTGAAGATGTATAGGAATACCTCCCTACTTATAACCCTGATAATCGCTAACCAGATTATCGGCAATTGATATTTTAACATCCCCATTTGATATTCACAAAGCATACCTGGCTTATTAGCAAATGAAAAATTACAATACAGTACAGTAATACAGGCATATAGGGACTGGGAAAAGTCTTTGGTTAGTGGGTATAGTAACTGCTAATCTAGTACTGTATGTCGATTAGCAGAACGATAGAAATAATGTAAGAAATTTAGTTAGGAAGTTATTATAACTAAATTTAGGTTATAAATTTAGTCAAAGTAATATTTAATATTTACCAGAATTGTAAATAGTTACTCCAGATTTAAATAATAGTCTTGCGCAAGTCAACATTCCTTTGACTGCGCGTGCATTCTACCAGCTTCCGTTGAATGTCAAATTACCCGCCATCGTCAAATCCTTAACGATCATGACCAGCACAACACTCACCCCCTTCAGTAAGAACCGGTGATCAAGGAGGGGCTTGTAATGGATACTCTCCCCTACAACTACAACTGCCGTTTGTCGCTGACCAGCCGATCCCTTGTCAAGTTTCCCAGCCAAAGCCTCGTGGTCTTACAGAGCGGGGTCGGCTACCAGCGACGTCTACCTCCTCCTATATAAGCTCCTCAGCCTAGCCGTGAAGGCCTGAGTGCTGGACCCGGAGCTGTGAAGACTTGCCTCTTCTGCTGCATGTTTGAGCAGTCTGCAACTTCGTTGTGATAGGACACTCAATCCTAGTGATTGTACTTACCCAACATAGCGACGGTGCAATTACCATCTCAGATTGTACGAAACATTCCAACTTTTGAAAAACATGTATTTGGGCTCCCCAAATTTTGACTACTACCCGTGCGTCTACGTCCTGGATTGGCCAATCAGTGGTGCCCCACGGTGGCGTGATACATGCACGTTTACTGCGGTGATCTGATTGGCTAACCGAACGTGGCGTGGTAGGTAGGCTGTCTCTACTCTCTAAGTCCTCTTCTTTTCTTTTTTCATCCCCCTCATGCACTCCGTTCCTTGAACGGGAGGCGGGACTTAGCGATACGGTCGATCCGGCAAGGGAACCTGTGATAGTGCAGGGCACCCCTTGTCCGGGGGTCACCGGTAGGTGGCAACTTTTTAGACATAACTATAGTCACAGGTAACCTGGGCGCAGAACCCTACGAGCCCGACGCCCGTCCAAGAGGGAGGGGTCACTGCTCCCAGGCAGGAGCCCTGTGTTATAGGTAGGATTCGGATGTAATCAGGGAAGAAGACTACAAGCATTAGGATTAAACATAGAGATAAGGGACACTCTATTGGAAGAGGAAAAGTGGCAGAAATCACTTATAACAAATTACAAGTCCCATTAACAAGAATATTTAGCACCAACGAAGGTTTCAAAGTAATCTGTAAAGATGACTTTGACTTAAACAAAATCCTCTCAAAAGAAGCTAGAGATATATTTTACAATGAGGGACTTGTTGTTGTCATGCCACCAGAACAAAAAGCAAAAAGATCAGTTTTCGTTCGCCAAGTCGACCAAGAGATCGGAAGGAAGACATCTGAAGATCTGAAAGATGAACTGGAACGCCAAAACAGTTGGATGAAGATCGAGGAAGTCATCAAGATAAAAGACTACACTCATGTTTTCAAGATTACCTTCGAAGAAGTTTCAATGGCTGAAAAAGTATGACAACAGGGCTTTCTAATATATAACATGTCAGTAACACCTCATCAAATAAAGAAGGAAACATTCATCAGTCTGCAAACTTGCTTTTCCTGTTACAAATATGAAGAACACACAACGAGAGACTGTCCAGAAAAAGAGAAAAAGTACTGCTCAGATTGTGCAGGTGACGACCATACCTACACTGAATGTAAGAACACACATGTTGGCTGTCTCAACTGTAAGAGTAACGGAAATGCATATATAGGACACAGGACGTTAGCAATGGTATGCACAATAAAAAAACACCTGATAAAGTACAAGGAACAAGAAACAAGGAAAAAGGAACAAGACAAGAAGGATACGACATACATCGAAATAGCCAAGAGAGCGGTCCAAGAGGCTCACAGACCAGAATCCACCATATTAAACCTAAGTGAGCCAATACATGATAAGGTAATGATTAGTATGATCCATGCACATCTGCACAATATCATTGCACCCGGATCATACAATGAGGAGTTAAGGAAAATGTTCGAATTGAATAACCTACCAGAGATGATATTCCCAGAGAATCCAGAATCCGAAAAACAATTTCAAGCAACATACTCAAGCGAACTGAAAGAAAGACTACAGCTAGACAAACAAAGGTTTGAGCAAGGAGCAAGAGCTGATACACAAGAAACACAAGCGACTGATAGAGATCCCAGACAAATGACTAGAAGTGACAAAGAGAAGATAGAAATAACAAAAGGACAGACTACAAGACAAAGGATAAGGAGGAGAGAAGATAAGATGGAGACTGATTACAATATACAACCTGAATCTGCTGAAGATATTGGATTAAAAGTTATCACCACAACAAAACATGGAATCCCAACACCGAGACCAACAGGAGGGACAATAGTAAAAAACTATGAAGGAGGGATATACAAGTGGACATATCAAGAAAAATCACTATGGACAAACTAAAGATTACGACCAATGACTTTAAAATAGTAGACCCGTCAGAGTTTAGAAGAGTCAGAAGCGGGAAACAGGACGATAGGTCTCCACTGCAACTGCCACAATCCAAGTATAAGAAATAATGGACAATAGACAAACAGTAAGAACTTTAAGAATAATACAACACAACGTAAGAAACTGGAAGACTGAGAGAATTAACCTAAGTAATATATATCAAGAAATTGACCCTGACATTATACTAATAAACAGTCACGGTGAGACAGACAACAACAACATAAATCTCTTTAACTATTATGTAAACCAAAGAAATAAATCAAGCGAGAAAAATGACGGAGTAGCTATAGCGGTTAAAAGAAACTTAAAATTTAAACTAATCGATGACTTCCAGGATGAATTTCTAGCAATAAAAATAAATACAACTCAAGGAGACGTAATTATTGCTACTACTTATCTGCCACCGAGACGACCCTACTTACCTATAGAAGACCTATTAAAATTGGCTAACAACAGTCACCCGATGTACATCTTAGGAGACTTTAACGCCAGACACAGGATTTTCGACAATACAAATAATAACGCTGTGGGAAACGCCCTTAATCAATTAATAAACCTAGGGAAAATCAATCATCTAGGTCCTAACTTTCCAACCTGGAGAAATCACAATACACAATCGACACCAGACAAAATTTTTACCAACAACAAAGCCTTTTTCAATTACTATATAAAACAAGGACCTCTTCACAGGCAGTGACCATCTGCCAATTATACTAACACTGTCAACAAGCCCCATACAGATACCAATGAAAAAGAGACTAAAAATGAGTAAAACAGACTGTATTGGCCTTAAAGACGACTTAGGTCTCACTCGATTAACCCTACAAGGGAAAACAACAGAAGACATAGACTCAGAAATGGACAGACTGCACTCAGCAATAAAAACATCTATAACCAAACACACTCCTACTTCACACTTTAGAACATTACCCAACAACAG